ATATTTATTAAAAATAATTATTTTTATTTAAAATATTACAATAAATTTTAACTATTAAAAATAAAAAATAAATTATCAAAATTTTGAATAAAAATAAATAGCCCAAAGGTCTGGGATTCAAAGGCAGCTAAAGCCTAGATAGGAAGAGAGATTTACAGATGGAGAAAAAAAAAATGTAGAATAGGTTTTTTCTTTTTCTTTTTGTTTTTTAGAAGCAGAAATAGGTAGTATTAATTTACCGCTGCTCTTTTATTTTTTGTTTTAAGTTAAATTTTTATAATTCAACTAATATAAATGGCCAAAATAATAATAATAATAATAATAACAATAATTATTCTTAAGTTCTAAGAGGGGGTTTGGCATATAGAAGTTTGTGGTTAGTAGTTGGTAATTTGAAATTTATATTAATTAAAAATAAAAATATTTACATTATAAATAATAAGGGGTTGTGAAAAATTAAGATATTTTGACAACTTAAATATTAGAAATGATAATTATAAGATTTAAATATTTTTAATAAATTAATATATTAAAAAGATTCATTAAAAATATTTAAACAATTTCATTAATAGTATTGATATTTTAAAAATATATACATTCTAATTTTTACTTTTCTGAAAAAAAAAATGCTCTTCAAATATCAACTACCAATTTTATTTGGAATGAGATCAACTAATATTAATATAAATTTATAAAACTCTTATACCAATTAACTCTACGTTAATGATCAATCATCACATACGTTGTCTCCTTAATAACGCAATCATTGTTGGTCTAACATATAATTTTATTTTTCTAAAGAAGGGGAAATTTTGAGAGGAAGGGGAAAATATTATTACTGTCTCAATAAGAACTCAAACTTTAGTATGAATCAAGGTATTTGATCCACATTGTCAGTTTACTAATAGTTACTAGTGCAATGAAAATAAATATAGAATAGATATATTAATACTCTTTTTGTGCAACATGTATCTAGTTAGTGTTACACATTATTTTTTTAATGTCCTCTAAATGTTATTTAGTTCAGTCTAACATATAAATTAGAAATATTATTTGTATAAACTTTATATATAAAAAGTAATTTCTACTTTTACTTTATTTCAAAACATGAATCGAGTTTTTTTAATAAGGTTAAATGCTAAATTTGATCCCTCAACTTTAAAAAATATACATTTTTTATCCCTCAACAATTTTTTGCACTTTGTTAATCCCTCAACTATAAGAAATGCACACCGTTAGTTCTTCTGTTAATTTGGACTGTTAATTCTGCCCATGTGGCATTTTTTATATTTTTTTTGATGATGTGAAGAGCAAAATTTAAAAAAGTGATGATATAGACAAAACTTTTGCCATGTCATGTTACCGTGGCCGAAACACGCCAAGTCCACCCAATTGGGTCTCACATCACCACTAAGAATTGCTTCTTTGCCCATCGGTTACTGCTTCTGTTCTTTCCATTTTCAAGATTGAAATCATTTAGACAATAGTTAAAAAATATAAAGAAAAGAATCTCAAAAATCGTTCACAACAACCTACAATTTGGATAATCTCTTGGCAAACAAACATATAACAAAAAAAAAAAAGTGGAGTTGGGTTCGACGGAACCCAACTTGGGTTCCACCGAACCCAGCTTGGTTCACT